AAATATCTTTCAATATTCCTTACTATATAATTCTAATAAAAATATCTTTAATTTTGTAGCAACAATAAACTATTCTATTTTATTTTAAAAAACTAAATCTAAACTAAAAATATAACTATAAAATAAATATTCAAAGAAATAAAATATCTCTCTCTATATCTTCCTAAATTATATCATTTTACAACATCATTTTATATTTTGCAGCAATGCCCTGACGCAACTTATGATATAAATGTTAGTAGTCTCTTCTGTAGAAGTATACATTAACTAAATGAACCTAAGTAACTTATGACTTTAATCTTTGTTCATTTAGAAATATTTTACACATCGTTATAAATTAATTCTTTAAGCAATAGAATCTTTCTATATATCTTCCTCTATAATTATGTTACTAACAAAAACATATTGTATTTTGTAGTCATGTCCAGACGCAACCTATGATGTAAATGTAAGTATTCCTTTATGCAAAAACTAAAAGAACCAAATTAATATTCAATGAACCATTCTATTTCATTCTAAATGACTTAAATCTTCATTCTTCTAAAAATATTTTACCTATCGTCATATATAAAAATATGAGGATAAAATAAATATTTCAGAAAGAAAATATCTCTCCATAAATCTTCTTTATATAAGTACTAACTAGTAAATTTTGTATTTTATAGCAATACCACGACGCAACCTATAATGTAGATGTAAGTATACCTACATTATAGAAATTATATATAATATAAAATATGTAATGCATAAAATACATAATATATCTAATTACAGTATATAATAAATAATACATAATATAGAATCTAATATATAACATATAATAAATAATAATTACAAAATTTTATATACACATACATACATACATCATATAATATAAAATATATATAATATGGATAAAATAAAATGTATGATATGTTATATATTTTCCGGATATAAGAGCACCGCTTAAGGTTTATGAGAACAAAGTGGGAATCAGCAAAAGAAGACGGCAACCACGAAAACGATGGAAAGACACAGTGCAGCAGAAATTGGAAAACTGTTGTTAAACAGGCTTATGTCCTACTTGGACTGTATAGTCACGAATGATGATGACGACATTTTATAAAATATTCAATATATAGCACAAAATATATATAGTGTATAATATATATATAATAAATAAAATATTGTATAC